GAGGGGGGGGGGGGGGGGGGGTTCCACTAATTTTTTATTGGCTGTGGCTCCCCTCCTTTGAGAGTTCTGTAACCCCGGTGTACAAATGACAAAATCCTAAATGGTATAAGATCATATTTTAGATGTGAAATTAATATCCATTACGAGTTCTGCATACATGTAATGGATAAAAATTGTTTGGTTGTCTTGAATTTTTTTGGTAACCTTGTAAAATGTTATCTTAAACCCTTTTCATGATTAGCGAGATGTTTCCCAAGAGTGAACTTTCTAAGCAAATAATCGTGCTCCTGACCTCAAAGCTTTTATAGATTAACTAGATTCTTTTGAGAAATATATTCTGACTTGTGCAATTTTATTACAATTTGTAGTTGTTGGCTTCGGAAAGAAGAGGGGACCAAACTCATCAGAGAAGTAAACTGGAGGTGCCAATATGTTTTTTTGGTCGTACGACTTAATTCCTCAATAGTAAAATGGAGATTCCAATAGCTTTTGCTTTGACTATGTTGAACATGTAATGGCATTTCATGGATAAAGAAAGTTTTGTTTAACTGAGTTGAATCAAATTCGAAATGAGTACTTACTCATATTATCTAACTTTTTACTTTATATGTATTTGGTGTCTTGAACTTCCCAATTCTTATTGACATGTTCTAATGTATAGCTGAGGCTTTTCATTTGAATGTCAGTGGTGTGTATTTGAGTAATGCTTATGTTTTCGATGGGGAAAAGAGTTGTTTCAAATCAGGGTTGATTCTGCAAACTGATGCATCTGATTATTGTACCTGTCATTATTTTAGAATATGTTCTTACATATTTCAATTTTCAGTCACAGTTTGGGGAAAGAGGTCTCCTAAAGCATCTTTTGCGACTATTGACAGGTTCCTAGGCTTTAATGAAAGAGATTATATTCCTTACCACTTGGGAGAATTATTTTCTTTCAATTTTGTGTTTTCCTCGTAATTAGTGGCAGAATTTCAGCAAGGTTCTTTTAACACCACGCGGTTAGTGCAAGTTACTACCCAATGGATTTCTAAATGAGTGTTGCACCAAGAATATTACTTTCTCTGTCTAACAAAGATAATTTTTTTTTTTTTTTTTAAATTCCCCATCATTACATAGATTTAGAAAATTAATATAATTGAAATTATAAATTTTACTCATGTTTTCCTTAATATATTCTTACATTGAATAATGGTAGTTTATATTTGTTGATAAGAATGCACATTAATAGTGGCATATGAGAAAATTTAAAAATTAAATATACTCGGAAAGTATAATATATAATTTGGGACAGTAGATGAGTGTAAAGAAGAAGATGAGCATCTAACTTTTTATCAAAGTATTTGAATTAATGTTTTGTGAGAATATTGGCAATAAGAGCAGAATCAACAATTTTTTGTAGAAAAAAAATTATAATCAAGTTCAATGCTTCACACAAACATGAAAAAATAGGATAAGGGGCCGTTTGAGCCCATTATTTGTAGATTATAATGAGATGAATAATATTTTTTTGAAAATGAGTGGTTGAAAAATTTTGATTTACGTGTAATATCATTTTATTAAAAATTGTGTGGTTAAAAGTAAGAGAAAAAAATTTAATTTAATATAATGAGAAATAATGGACCTCTCGCTTTGTCAAAAAGACATTTATAATCCTAAAATCCAACAATTAGAATTCATTTTATTTTATTTTATTTTATTTTTAATTTTTTTTTGAACCCCAAAAATTATTACAATTTATAAAGGGCAACGGGGACATGCTAATAGGGACAGACTTATGCTTGTCTTCCAATAACTAAGGAACATATACCAGTCGTCCGCGTGGCATACGTTCATTGGTATTATTATAACGTTTTAGGCAAGGAATGTCTTACTCATATAAAAACCTAATTAAATCTAGGGTTTATCAAAAAATTCAAACCATTTTCATTTCTCTCTTTTCAACGGTCCAAATTATTTTCACTCCAAGGATATCACTCGATTCAGCGCCGCCACCGGCGATGGACAAACTTTCCCTGAACGACACCGTACCGGAGGCCAAATTCTCGCAGCGGGTTCCAATACACTCAATCCTTTCGCGGGCCGACGGCGGGTCGGGTCTCGCCGGCCAGGCTGTCCGAATTGGGGGGTGGGTGAAAACGGGCCGGGAACAGGGAAAAGGCAGTTTCGCTTTTTTGGAATTGAATGATGGGTCGTGCCCCGATAATTTGCAGGTGCTTGTCGACGCCAGCGTGCATAAGTTAAGCGATTTGGTGTCTACTGGGACTTGCGTCCACGTGGAGGGGGAGCTCAAGGTTCCTCCCGAAGGCGCGAAGCAGAAGGTCGAACTCCGAGTTCGAAAGGTTATCAATGTTGGCCCTGTCGATGCGGGGAAATATCCATTGCCTAAAACTAAATTAACGCTTGAGTTTCTTAGAGATGTTGTTCATCTTCGCCCCAGGACCAACACGGTGTGAATATCTCTTTTTTCTCTTAATTTGCATGTCGTTTAATTTTTGATTACATTATGATATGGATTTGAGGAGTTTTCTCTACGAATCTTCTTCGCCAAGTTTGTGTTTTGATATGAATTTATCTGGGATAGAATGATTTTCAAACTTTAAAATTTGTTTCAGTTACTGAAAATTTTCAAGTTCGGCGATGTGTGTATCATATATATTAACAAACATATTCGTACAAAAATTTTATATGCAAGAGTTGCTGCTTGAATTGCAGCTCAAATACGCCACAAACGCGATTGTATGAGTGGCGATCTTGTGGTAACTATCATAGTCATTGCTTGTTGCTTGAGCTAGAATCTGGAGCCTGAGGTTAGGATGTTTAGGTGGGTGGTATTAATAATTTGCTAGACACTAGACCATTTTATCAATTTTAATCATTAGTGTGCAAATGTCTAGTTCATCCGTTGCGATTTTCTTGCTGAGAATTTTTAATTGATTTGCTGGTCTAGATATCTGCAGTTGCTAGAATCCGTAATGCGCTGGCTTATGCAACTCACACATTTTTCCAAAAGCATGGTTTCCTCTATGTGCACACCCCTATTGTTACAACAAGTGATTGTGAGGGTGCTGGTGAGATGTTTCAAGTTACTACCCTTATTAGTGAAGCAGAAAAATTAGAGAAGGAGCTGAAAGACAACCCTGCTCCCTCTGAAGCTGATATTAGAGCTGCTGAGCTTGTGGTGAAGGAGAAAGGAGAAGCAGTTGCCCAACTTAAATCTGCTAATGCGAGCAAGGAGGAAATTAGTGCTTCTTTAGCTGTGCTCAGTAAAGCTAAAGAGAACCTCTTGAAACTGCAAGAAAGATTCAAGCTGGGAGAGAGATGTAGACTTGGTGCTGGTTTCCCACAAAAGGATGGGAAAATTGATTATTCTCAGGACTTTTTTGCCCGCCAAGCATTTTTGACCGTCTCTGGACAACTTCAAGTTGAAACATATGCATGTGCTCTCAGTAGTGTGTACACTTTTGGGCCTACATTTCGAGCGGAACACTCTCATACATCAAGGCATCTTGCTGAGTTTTGGATGGTGGAGCCTGAAATAGCATTCGCTGATATAAAGGTATTTTAGTTGTATTTCACCACATAAATTTAGAGCGTTAATTGTTCCAGCGGTGCCTACTGCCAAAGCACGATAAAGCTACATATCCATTGGATGCAACATGCTCTAAAGTATAGAAACTGATGAGGCATCATTAATTGTCTGAAGTTGCTGTTTTGAAAAAGCTGGCCTGGAAAAAATTAATTACTAATCCAAGGAGGATTAAATTATTTTGGAATTTTGTTCTGATTAGAAATGAAGTCCTAATTAGATTAGGAATATACCTGATTCTGTCATTCTGAGTTAATTGTGTCATATGGTATCTATTATATTTACAGAGGCAAATGATTTTGATTGATGATCTATTCGCAATTAGATCTTCAATTTTCCTGCTTTTAAGCTTTACTACTGCTTATGAAAACGTGAAGCTATTGTAAAAGTCTTTTCTTTTGTACTGAGGAAATATTTTAAAATTCAAGAATATGAGCTCCCTATGTTCTATGAAATGAAACGTGTCACGAACAAAATGTATATGGATCAGGAAGCAAGAAGTAATCTAATGGATTTTGTAGGATTCCTTTTGTGATTACAAGAGATGACAACAAAAAATTGAATTTTGTAGGATGATATGAACTGTGCGGAGGCCTATGTCAAATTTCTCTGCCAATGGTTACTGGACCATTGCTACGATGATATGGAGTTTATGGCTAAGTTTATTGATAAGACTGCAATTGATCGTCTTAGAATGGTTGCTTCATCCAACTTCTACCGAATTACTTACACAGAAGCAGTTTCCATTCTTGAGAAAGCATCTAAAGAGAGGAAGTTTGAGAATGCAGTAGAATGGGGGATTGACTTAGCTTCTGAACATGAAAGGTATTTGGCATCAATAACCTTTAATTCGACTATGTCCTTTACTGATCACATCCTATGCCTAATCATGTAGGTTCTTGACTGAAGAGAAATTTAAAACACCTGTCATTGTGTACAACTACCCGAAAGCGATTAAAGCATTTTACATGAAAGTGAATGAAGATAATAAGACAGTTGCTGCTATGGATGTGCTCGTACCGAAGGCAAGTTCTTTGCGTAGATAAGATGTCTTTCATATTTCTTCTATTGTAACTTGTAGTATCTCCGTCACTGTTTTTGTGTGTCGTGTTTGTTCGTGCAAGGATCTTTTGAGGAAGTGTCTTATTAATGAACACTATGGTTGTATTTTCCTTTTTCCAGGTGGGGGAACTAATTGGTGGAAGCCAAAGAGAAGAGAATTACGAGGTCCTCAGTGCTAGGTACAAGAAGCTTTGGTGCTTGATATTATTTTATTTTAATTAAATCCACCCGGTATACCGGTTTGTTGAATTAGATAAAATAGTACAAAAGGGAGGGAAAAGCACCGCCTTACCTCTGGTATGGTAGAGTAGAAAGACTTTCAAAAGCTATAAATCTAGAGGGATTACCTCTTCATTATGAGGATGAGAAATAAATAACGACTGAAAATGGATATATGCTACGCACCTAAAGAGTTCTCTTGCATTGGCAAGAGAATAAAAAATTAAAGAAATGTCATATGTTTTACTTGTGTAGATAGTTTAGACAATGAGTATTTTTAGCGGCTTCATGACTGACAAAGTGTACTCCCTTGGGTTGCTGTGATTTTCTACAGGATACTTGAGATGGGTCTACCTCTCGAGCCATACGAGTGGTACCTCGATTTGCGACGTTTTGGGACCGTGAAGCATAGTGGATTCGGTTTAGGCTTCGAACGGATGATTCTTTTCGCTACAGGGATGGAGAACATCAGAGATGTCATTCCCTTCCCCAGGTATCCTGGAAGAGCAGACCTGTAGAATCAATTACAGATTTATGAATGGTACTCTTCTAATATTGTTAGGCTCTTGACTTTGTAATTTTACATCGCTTTCAAAATTTGAAAATACTTAAAAAGTTGATAGTGAATTTGTATCTCAGTCTATGAAAGTAGACAGTTCTACATTGTATTTTCCCTTTAGTTGTTATTTTGAATGTAGTAAGTTCATCTCTCTCCATCTATTTGTGTTCATTATGACACTCGATATGTTGTATTTGTCATTTCTCTTATGAGCAATTCCGACTCTGTCCTGTCTCTGGACGTGTTTGTTAAGCTTCATATCCACATGGACATCGGTGTCGTCCATGGCTTTCTCTGAAATTTGTGGTTGAA